TAGTGTGTGTGTGTGTGTGTGTGTGTGTGTGTGTGTGTGTGTGTGTGTGTGTGTGTGTGTGTGTGTGTGTGTGTAAATGACAACAATTGAAGCAATAATGACAAGACATTGCAATTTTATGGATTTGTGAAATACCTTTAAAACCTTACCGTTTAAAAATTTACCGTATTGATTTCTTTATCGTTCAAATTGATAAAAAAGTGCGCAGTAAGATTCATGATTGTAATCTTCAGAAATTCGCCTTGCGATGTTTATCGCTATTCTTTTTTCAATATAATCACGCAAACCCGCATTAAGAAGCCCTTCATATTCGGAGGGTTGTGACTAATTATTATTATCTGATTTGTTGAGACACCAAGTCATCAGAGCCATATCATTAGCTTTCTGTATCTACAAATGTTGATATTTTTTAAAATTTTATTATATTTGTGTATAGTCTGTATATACTAACAAAAAAATATTATATATAAACATCTATTTTATTGAAAATTTCTGCTTTAAAATAGCATCTTAGGATGTTTATAAGTTGATAATATAACGTTTATATCTTTAAAAAAAAATATATATCTATTTTATTTTATATAAACAGAATAGCATAATTAAAAATAAAAACAATATCTAGGCTTTAGATTGGAAATTAAATTAATAAAATAAGTGAATTTTTATTTATTTAAATATAATTATTATTTAGGTATGATTGCCTTGATTGATTGATTCGAATAATTGGAAGCATTTGAAAAATGCGTTTACCAGTCACAGATAGTTAAGCGCACCTCTAGTATTATGATGGAGGGGATGGTCGTCGGACGTGACGTACACGTGACTCGTAGAACCGCATCAATGTGGGAGTTGAACAGTACAACCCCTTTCACACGCGCGGAGTACGCGACCGCGTGAAGTGTGCTTTCACGCGATCCTTAAGAATGCTGTTTCTGGATCACGATTGTTTGCTGCGTATTTCAATGCTTTCTCTCGAGTGCCGAAACGAAATGCACATATCATAACGCGGAAATCAAAATCTATGCGTGAGAATAATCTTACGGAAGCCAAGTGGTGGAGAACATAATGTTAAGAACGTTAAAGCGAGGGTTAACTTACTCTCGAAAATTGTTTGCGAAAGAAACGAAAGTTGCGAAAATTGCAAATTTATTTATTTTGAAAATAAGTGCGTCACTGCCGAAAATGTCGCTTGATCTGTGATCGATAGATATTCGTATAAACATGAACTGTTCAACGATCTCGTGATTCTCGATCTGTGTTCTCAGGTAAGATTGTGTTTTTTTTAATGGTTTTTGATTGATATCAATTTATACTTTTGAAATGCGTAGCAAAATATTATTTGCTAAATTGTAATACTATAAATCGTTCTCTACAATATTGTTTTGGCAAGTTTTTAATAACATGACGATGTAATTTTTATAACATTTTGCAATCATTATAGTATTGGATTATAAAACAACACGAAAAATAATAATGGCAGTTTTTACTTTCTTGTTGCAGAAAAAGATAAGTTATCAATAAAAAAATGTTTAATTTTTTTATAAAATAGAGGATTAATTTAAAATTTAATACTTAAAAGAAATTTTTCATATCAAGCATTTGATGTAATATGCCGTTTTAACATCGTTTAATCAATTAACTATTTTTCTTTAATGTATTCTCTTATAATATAAATTTTTTCAAGTTATAAAGTGATTTCCTTTAATTTGAATTTGTGAATTTGTTATCTTGGAAAAATTACAGAAAATTAATGACTTCTTTGTTAATTTGCAATGAGATATTCGGCATTGTATATACATGACGAAATGTCGAGGCAATCGACAAGAAGACATATCGACATCCCTCACGTGCGCAAGAAGCTTCAACTTGCTTATAGCTAGCACAATACACATCGAGCATGCATTTATTTATTATATATTTACAAGTAGTCCGGCAAGAAGGTTCGCGTGGATTTTCAATCGCATTCATGGATATCGATTCTCGCAAGTATCCGGTAATGCCGACACAAGTCGCGAAAAAGGAAAACCCTATCGATCGCACTCTTTCTGACGTAGACACTGACCAGTAAAAATGTATAGTGAGATAGTGTGAGCCTAGACGGGTTAAAGCCCATTTCATTGTTACATAAACAAAATTCATTATAGATCTGCGTAGGGAGTCGTTAAATATTCCATTGAATGTCTTATGTTTGCTGTACCGTGAAACATTTGTGCAATGTCAAGGGACAAGACATTGACGGAGGATGTCTGTTGCAGGGAAGAAACAGAGTATGAGAGAAAAGAAATATTCGCGATGAAAAAAGAATTCTAACAAACAAGAAATTTATATTTATAAAAATTGCACGCATTTATAAATATATTTATTACAAATAATAAATATAAATTTATTATAAATGCGTGCAATTAAGCAAGAGTGCTTCTGAATAATTAAAAGTGAAGTATTTTTAAAAGAAAAATTTGAAAAAAGATATATGACTGTCAAGCCTTCTGAAACTTTTTGAATGTAGAAACATTTATGAGCAAACGGAACAATCGATTAACGACGATCGAACAATTAGATTCGCTTATGCGTGTTGGGTACTTATTCAGTAATCAAACATTGACAATACATCGGACATGTTTTAGAACTTTTTCATTAATTCGTTCAATTCTATCTTTTTTATCGTATGATACCAAAATATTATTAATAAATAAAAAAAATTATATATAGAAAACTGGAATTTTTTTCATTAGGTTAGAAAAAGAATTGTTAAAAAATATATTTCCAAATAGAATTATGTTGAACATGGGTTGCAAAAAAAAATGTATCATTATGATATTTTGAAATTAGAAGAAAGAATAGATCTGATAAGCAATAAAATATGTCATCATAAAGTTCCTTTGCTTACAGGAACGGATGTACTGGATAATACATTCTGTTATATAAAAGTGGTCGATGACCCACATCTTCATATTCACTTTAATAATTGCATGTTATATCAAATTAAAAAAATGTACATAATTATATTAAAAAATTATATATAATATTTTAGAATATATCGATAAAAGATAAACATAAAATTATACAAAATAAATAAAAACATTACTATAAAATTAATTGTAAATTTAATACTAAAATTTTACTGTAATTATTTTATTACATTTGTGTGTGTATGTAGAAACATATAGCGATAATAAAATAGTTTTTTTATTAATTTTTTACTATATATTTATATTTCTGCTTACACAATATTAAATTATGTATATGTATATGACATTTAAATATATTTGTTTAAATTTGAATAATATTTTAATAATATTATAATAAATATTTTTCTTTAAATTGTATTATACATATTTTATTCTCTCTTTAAGTAAAAAATTTAATTAAATTAGTTTATTCTTAATGTATAATCGTAACAGTATTATTAGAAGACTATTAATAGATTGCACATATTATTCATAATTATGACAATATCATATTTTATAATAAAAATCGAAAGCGATATGGAATACTTGATATGATTGTTTTGAGACGCGATAATGAATACGACCCCGTTTTATGATCATAAAATCGATATCTACCATCGTATCAAAACTCGTCATTTTTTTGCTATTATTGTCGATTATCGTGCAAACTATAGCGATATAGTATTTACCGATTTTCCATTACCTTATATTTAAGAATAGACCTTGTAAATTATTGGTTCAATGCCCTTTAGTTCTGGAGTATCTTACGTATATCCTATGCCTTATATACTTAACCTTTTATATAAGAGAAGACTAACCCTCTCCTTTTAGAATGCCCCTCGTAAGAGCATGGTTTAAAGTGTGGGTTTACTTGGGGCTCGTTTTTTGCGGTTGGGGCAAAGGCGCACGTCCACGTTTTGATACTTCCACGGATATGGGGTTGGTATTGGTTCCAGCCGATGCCGAAGTCGATTCTGTGATTTTTCGATTGCGCGCCACCGATCAAGATGCGGATTTTCCTCTCGTGTTTGAAATAACCGGTAATTAAAGAGAAGAAAAAATACAAGCGTCAATCGTTATTAAAACACGGCTCATAGTCAGGTGTTAAAATACGACTTCTGTATTTTGTTCACAGCGACAATTACACCCGTTGTAAGAATCGACAACCTGCCATGCACGTTGTACAACAAAGTCTGTCAGGCCAATGTAATTTTAACGAAACGTCTTATGCCGGGACGTCTTCACGATTTCGCCGTCAGGGTTCGAGATACTAAGGGAGACTCAAATTCGATGCAGGCTACCATTTCCGCAACGAACGCCACAACCTCGCGTGATAAAATATTCCCTCACATTCCTTCTCTGATAATGGTACCAGAGGTGTGTAATTATTAATGAACGGTTTCATTAACAACGTTAAATAGCATGCGTCATAATTATGTCTGAGATGGTCGATAAGCTTATTTTCCACGTAATCACTAATTATCGGTCTAACATATCAGCATAAGTAGATTTTTTTTTTATAATATTATGTATAATATTACGTGAAAATATTGAAAATTAATGCAAAGCCTGTTAACAGGACGCTAAACCCGGAAGGGAACTAGACTATATTCTTGTACGCGCAAACTCTTGGAGCGGCAAGCCAGTTTACATCGAATTATGGGTATATATTTAATAATTGCTTCGTACATTTGCGTGTTTAGCAAAAGATGCAATGTAAAAGGTGACATCGTTTTAGCAACCAAAAGAACTTTTCACCATTCGGCAACGACAAACGCCCACTCAAACGCGCGGAATTATCACATTGATCGGCGAGTTGGATTTCGAGACGCAATCAATGTACACCCTTACTATTTACGCAACCGTATGCATAATATTCTATAGTATTCTACAGTATTCTATAGTATTCATAGTATTCTATCTGTAAATCTATAAATCTATAAATACGTGATATACAGATGAGAGCACGCATATAATTGATGTAACATATTTTTAATTAATAGGATCCTTATACAGAACCTGGAAAAGATACCAGAAATATCGCAGGATTGAATCTTGTCGTTATAGTGCAAGATGTGCAAGATGTGCCGCCAATTTTCACCTTAGCACCCCCTTTGACTAGGCTTAATAATTCCGTGCAAACCGTAAGTTAAATTGCATTATTATTCAACTTGCTTTATTTGCTTTACTGAATTACTTCTAATAAATATTTTAAAAAACTTAAAAATTATTCCCTAAATCTCTTTCTCGTTATTATTCAATATAGTAATAATTTCTCATTTATGTTATTTTTAGGGAGACGTAATATTACGAGTTCACGCGGAAGATGGGGACAAGGGGGTGCCGCGTGAAATCACGTACGGTTTGGTGTCCGAGGGCAATCCTTTCATACCGTTTTTCAATATTTCGGAAACAACTGGTAAGAAACTGTTGAATCTTTAATATCTTATATCCCGTTCGATGGAAAGCTAGAGGAAATCGAAAGAAAATAATTTCGTCGTCGATTGTGCTACATTTAATTTTTGATCCTCGGTCGCGTGCGGTACAATTATGTTGTACGGACTGGGCGGGTTTAAGGATTGAAGGACCTCTTCTATATCGCGTAGATGCAAACTAGAATTGTAATTAATTTACCCGACGAGTTGAGTCATCGCTAATTCTCCGATCTATCGCACGTCACGCGTCGTTTCCACCTGACAATCTCGATGACGAGAAAAAGTAATGGCGTTGATTCATATTCCCCTTTAGCATACAAGGCTGACCTCATTCCGCGAAAAGCGCCGGACAATGATTAAGCAGGGAAATTTGTTCGCTACCGTTCCTGCGATGTCGGCCTTCCATTTCTTGATAGCGAAGCAATTTGTTCCATCTTCCGTATAAAGTCAATGGAAAAAAATCACGCATGTGTTCTTATATTTTATATCACTCACACATCTTTTAATTCTTTACAAAAGTCAAACAAAATTACAAAATACATTACAAAATATTAATAATTATAATAATTCTGCCTGACGAATATAATTTAATTAATGAGATGAGATGAGATGAGATTTCGTGAAATCAATACTATTATTTTTAAATAAATAACGTTTTCAACGTTTTCGCAACTAATTTTAAAACTAAAAATTATGCTAGAGAAACTCTCGCTATCTGTCATCGCGTTCTTCGGAATATCAGATTTCGTGGAAGCTCAGATAAGTCAGGCAAGAGTGCGAAAAATCGGCGAGGAGTAAACAGAAGGAGCCGAAAGTGGTCAGAATAGGTCTGGTCAGTCTACGACCAAGTATCGATCGTTCTTAGGGGTCACTCTCTGCTTTTCAACCTGCGATGCTTATCATTCCGTGGCAAGGAGCATGCGATACGTACTACGATTCCTTGCGTGTGCGGGTTCCACCTACATTCAACGACGTATACGTTCGTCCATTGCGAACGATTTCTTAAGTCGAGTCCGCGAGTATTACATTATGTAAAATTATTACCGGTCAGCGTGCGTGTGCGGTAAAAGTCGAGACGAAGAGGTAATAGGATAAGGGAATTCACGTTCATTATCTCCGTAATGTTTTATTCATATTAAAAACAGTCTATATCGCCTACGGTGATTCTCCGAGAAATAACGAATCTAACAAGAAATTGCGCGAGAAAGAGTTACATGATGAGATGTGAAAAGTACGAGATATACAAATTGTGACAAATTAATTAAATAATTTATACAATCTTTTTTAATTGGAAACCCGCAAATCTTTCCTGGTTATCCGATATTTGCTTGTTATCTTCGCTTGTATCAAGGCTAATTATTTGAATGAAAAATTCGTCGATGGTTAACACGAACACGTGTTATAAATCATCTTGCGATGTTTAGGTGAGATCGTTCTCGCGAAGCCTCTAGAGGAACTCACACAAATTACTCATGTCGGCGCACCGGTCGTGCTCACCGTGGTTGCTGAGGAAATACGAAGATCTAGAGATGAGCCGCCGGCTCAGGCGTCGGTCGTCGATGTCGGTTTCCTTCTTGGAGAACCGGGCAACAGCCCGCCATATTTTGAGAATGATAAGTTGGTACCCGATGATATTAGTAACGAGCACGTAAGAGTCAGGGCAATGTCTTTTAATGATTATTTAACTTTCTCGACAAATAAAACTGACTTTTAATACTATCGCCTTCCTATTTCTTTACATGTTATCGACATTATACTTCATTTATTTTTTAGAATTCGCATTATTACATTAATAAAGTAATTTCTTATTAATGTATTGTCTCGTTATACTTTTATAATATTTACCTTTAGCCAGTTTCACATTTACATTTAACATGTATTATTTATAGCTACGTTGCGTCGATACCTGAGAATTTGGAACCAGGTTCTATAATAATGTTTCCCGAGCAATATTCGACTAGAGTCCGCGATGAAGATATTGGTAAAGCTGGTGTTTTCGCATTGAAGTTGAAAAATAACAATGGCACTTTTGAGATAAATCCGACTGTTGCTGAAAGAACGGCGGATTTCATTATCATGGTACGAGACAACACACTCATCGATTATGAGATGTATGAAAGTTTATCTTTTAAGGTATGTCTTTAATATAAAAATAACTTTAATAAAATATTTGATCTTATTGTTTAAGCTATTTTGTGTTATTTTTGGATTTTTATTATTATTATATAAAATCAACTGGATAAGTAACATTAATTTTATCAGCAAATGGTTAATAAGTGGATATTATTAAATATTTAATTTTTAAATAAAAATATTGAATTGGCACAAATATATTTACATTTATGATATAGATTATTGCTCAAGAAGTTGGTCCAGCAACAAATCTTTCGGCGTCAGCGGCAGTCGTAATATTTATACAAGATGTTAACGATAATCCGCCAATCTTTGACGAAGAATCTTATGAAGTTACATTGTCCGAAAATGTCACAGCTGGAACTCGGGTGATTCAAGTAATATTTAATTGTTCATTCTTTAAATAAATATGATAATAATCAGATTTTGAGTACATTTTCTAAAATCAACTTATATATTTTTTAATTTGTAATGATCGTCTTTTTACTAATAGGTACATGCAACTGACAAAGATACTGGACTTTTTGGTAGTATTCAATATACAGATATAACAGGGCAAGGAAGCGATGCTTTCGCAATAGATACCGATACGGGGTTAATTACAGTCGCAATGGGATCGTCTCTAGACCGTGAAATGGCAGCGCAATTACAATTAACTGTAAATGCGCGCGATGAAAACGGCAAAGGAAACCTAGGCGTTGTACCTTTGATAGTGAATTTATTAGATGTAAATGACAACGCCCCGATTTTCGAAAAAAGTGCATACGAATTTACATTAAATTCTGATTTAACAAATTTTTCAACACCTGCCATTATAAGGGTAAATCTTAATTTTTCTTGTATATTTATTTATATTAAATTAACGTAACGGAATATTTTCAATAAATATTTTTTTCTGATATCACTGTGAAAAAAATGCTTCACCTCGTACATGCAGGCTACGGACGCCGATGCTGAACCGCCGAACAACGAGATTCGTTACGAATTGATTCAAGGAAATTATGAAAATAAATTTTATTTGAACGAAATTACTGGGGAATTGATACTGCGTTCACCCATCACAAAGTTCCGGCGGAAGAAACAAAGCGTATACGACAGTTTTTCGAAGAAACACAAAGGATTTCGTCAATCGGAGAATGTGACACGAGAGATTCTAAGAAGAACAACAACAGTGTTCCCGGATGTGGCTAATTCAACTGAAAACGTTACAAGTGAAACAGAATTAAAACATCAAAATGGCGAGATAAAGAGACATCGTAGAAAACGAGCGGAAGCTGATGTTTTATACACTCTAACTGCCAGGGCGTATGATCTTGGTAAGTATTCAGTAAATTTATTTTTTTTAGCGAGCGAGTAAGTCGTAAATAAGATTTGAAAATTTCATGGAAATTTTATAATTAAGTAAAAAGATATTCTTGACCATTTCCTTTATTTCATTGTGCAATGTTCTAGGTGTACCTCATCTCGCGAGTGAAACAGAAATCTCTATCGTCAGAGGAACTGCCATGGAAGCTCGCATAATGATGTTTGTAGTGCCAGGAGAACGTCCAAATTTAACGAAAACCGCGGAGACGTTAGCCACTATCACTGGTGGACGAATTACCGTATTAGACACACGCCCTTACATGTCAAATAATAATAATAATAATAATGATAATAATAATAATAATAATAAAACTAGCGTAACAAATAGTACTGCTCCAGCGGAAGGAAAAAGGTTAATAGAAACGATATTTTTGTTTTAATAAAAAAATATAAATTTAAAAACTTAGAAAATTTTATCTTTCAATCAATCATAATTAATATAACATTAAAAAGATCAGCCTTAAATTTAGCGTTTCAGTCACCGAATTGGATCATAAATTTCTCATATTTCTGTTTCCTTATCTGCTAGAACGATCGTGATAGCCCGTGTCGAACAAACCGAAATCGGCACTCCCCTGGTGGACGTGGAAAAAATTCGCAAGACATTAGCCGCGAATGGGGTGGGCATCATCGGTGGCGCGGGCACTGCCAATGTATCTATGACATACGACTACAATACTACCACGAAACTTCCAATCGATGGGGTAATTCATGGGGGAGATAGCGGGGGGACCTATGTAAACAAAACGATCAGCAACGTTCACGAGGAAGTAGTGAGTAGACTTAATTGTCCTCATTCATTAATTGTATTGCGTGACACATCAGTTTTCATTTCAAATTATATTACTCGATATACATTTCATAAAATTGTGTCTTACTTTTTAACTTTGGCAATTTTAGTCATATTACAAAATATGTTCTTTCTACATAATCAATGGATGAATTTTTTATTGCAAACAATCTGACGCAAAAAATTTGAACTAGAAATTTTATTTTATAGCAATAGACGGATAAAGATATTCAAATTTTAATGTAACGTTATGTAAAATTAATGTTATTATTTTATCCAAATTCTATATTTAAGTTTTGTTGAACAGTGTTCTCATTTATTTTTCTCTTATCCCAGTTGGCAATTTTCTATTTTAGAGAAATGAGAAATCAGGATTCTTTTTCAGACTGTCTACAGAGCGGAGAATAAGCTACTCTTTTGGTTACTGATTATTCTGGGCCTACTAATGCTGCTGGCTATCGCAGCACTCATCATTTGCTGTATCTGCCCAGGCTGTCCATTTTACATGGCACCCAGAAAGCGAAGAGTTTACTCCTCGGAAACACTGATCGCTCGATCTGATGGTCGACCGAAACGACATCTTCATCGGAAACCAATGCCTGCAGTCGAAAGTAATTATTTTGTGTCAATTATTTTTATTTCTGACGTTTAGAAGCATTTTTTGAAAAAACTTTTTTCAAGTTTTATCATTATATTATATAGCTGTGTCTTTGTATATATTTTATTATTTAAAAATTATTTCTTTAAAGAAAATATTGCTTATTAATAAGAGCAATAATATTTGATTACCGAACAGTAGTTACATCGAACGGAAAGAAGCAAGCTTGGAGCGCAGATCCAACACGAAGAAACTGGCAATTCAATCGTCGAAACACAAAGAACGGCGGCTTAGCGTCCCTTCCTGGTGACGTCGTATACATTTCGGAGCGTCCTCCGATCGACCAAGCAAATGTGGAGTCGCTGAGACTACGTGACGGCCCATCATACGATCCTTCGAGAAGGAGGAGAATGGAAGAGCAGGAGAGAATGTATGTGGAGGATGTCGAGGAGAGGAAGGTTAGAGATTACGATGCCGCAGACACAGATTCCTTGCAACGACACGATATCGAACGTGGTTCGGATATTCAGCGTCAATCTTACAGACAAAGGTGAAATAAAATGTGTCACAACAGAATTTTAATGTAACTTTTTTAATAATTTTACGATAATTGTTGACAATTTTTATTTAAATTATAAAACTAAAATTAAAACACGTGCTAAATAAATTAACAGATATGGCAAATCTTTTTATATATCATTTTTTTAAATTAATAATTGAAATTGATACATAAATTGAACATAAATGTTATAGATTTGGCTTATCAAAAAATATTTTTAATAAATTGTTAAAAATTTTAATGTTATTCTTTTATTAGAAAAGAATAAAAAACTAACGAGTACATTATTCCGTTACAGATATGTCGATCCTGATTTAAACAATGAAACAGCAATAAGAGAGCAACACTTTTATCGTGAGGGAAACGCAGAGGTGCTGCAATTAGTAACGCGAGGACAAGTGGAGGATAGAAATCAACATCACCAATATCCGACGACCTTTGTGATAGATGGCAAGGACGTACTTTTGCAGCGATTCATTCAGGATCAGAAAACGCGGCACGACTTGCAAGAACCTGAGGCGGTGCGCACCATCGAGTCTCATCAACGTCCCAGAAATTTATATCAGCACAAGCAGGAGATTCTTCTTTTGCCAGAAGAACTGGATGTTAGACAACGACGTGCGGAGGAATTAGAATCCGGCGTGCGAAAGTTGATGACGCACGACGAATACGCGGCGCAAAATATGGACGCGGAAAGCCAGATGCGAGACGTTCAACGTCAAGAAATCTCGACGAATGTGGCAGGAATATCATCTACGGACAGACCGATGGCCAAGGAGCAGATGCAAACCACGACGGTGCAGTCGTATGCGTTTCACGATTTGGAATTGGCGAGGCAGAACGCACTATTGACGAGGCTACTTTTGGAGAGGGAATCCAGGCACGTTGGTGGCGTAATGATGGACGCCGCGAGTTACTTGGAAACTCAAAGTCTTCCCGGGCAAGTGGCAATCGCGACGCAGACCGACAGAATTGCTGCGACACAAACGGAACGACAGGTCCGAAGCAGAAGTGATAATGACGAGTCCGACGAGGATACGCGAAATCGAAAGAAAACGAAGAAGCGCCATGGCGAGGGCGACTTAAGAACGCGGACTTTATGGATGAAAACGCCCATCGAGGAAGAGGAGGGCCCACGTTTTGACAAACGATTGAGGATTTTGAGAAAGAAAGTGCAGGAAGTGAAGGAGAGACGGAAAGCGTCCTTAGAGCCTGAAGTGTTGAGGGAAATTTCGGATTCTCTTGATGAAAACGGAAGTACTTGCCATGACAGGGAAAGGAAGATGACGAAAACTGGTCAACAGTCTACTGAAGAAAGCAGTATCGGATACAAAGTATTGGGAGAAGAGAAAAATGGCTTTTCTTCATCAACAGAGTTAGGTAAGCGCCAGTATGAAAAATCTTCCAATGAAAAAACAGTGGAGAGCTTGTCATCTCCGGAAATGTATGATAATGGAAGATATATTCGCGAAACGACGGAGAAGACTTCAAGGAAAGAGAGTAAAATAAAGAAGCACAAGAAGGTAGAATCCATGATAAAACCTAGCTTTCGGGTTTTAGAAAAGGAAATTACGTTGCTGACGAAGAAATTGAGTAAACTTGCCGACAAAAAAGTACACCAAACTACGGGAGATGAAAGTACAAGTCAAGAAAAATCGAGATCACCGAAGGACCCCAAGAGAGATTCGGATCACAGTAAGAAAACAGAAGACCCAAAAAAATATAAACGGTTTGTGACGTCACCAAGTGTATCGAAAGAGACAAAGAAAGAAAAATTCAAATATCAACAACCGCGAATTATGAGTCCCGGCAGTTCTGAATATGAGGACGCATTTGAAAAATCGGAGAAGTTGAAATCAACATGTCAAGAACCTGCAAAGCACAAACAAGTGAGTAGTCATACGAAAGTAAAAAAGCAATTACAAATCGAGCGTAAAGATCGTAAAAAGCAAACTGTACAGCAGGATCGAGAGCAGAAGCGCGGAAATGCCACGAGTAGAGAAAACGGCAGATCGAAAACTGTAAAATCTACCAAATTATTGCCGCGTGCGCAAAAGTTGGCAGCGATTGGTCGTAAAGACCATGTTCATATCTCGGAACTTAGCACGAGCACAAGTTCCGAGCGTACAAACGATAAAAAGGACAGGTCGTTCATCAGACAGGATTTTGATAAGAAAAGCACGGAATCTTCGGAGATCCCGTCGAATCATGTAAAACAGCGAAAATTGCAACAAAAATTAAATTATGTAATCGAGCCTTTCTCTGATGATTTTGTGATAGAACCACGGAGAAGAGACATCGATCAGCAAAGCGCATTTCATTTAATAAAGGATACAAGTATGGATAAAGAGGACATTGCGAAAAGGGACATCGAAATAATACAACAATTTTCTGACGACTTCACGACAGGAATACAGACGGAAGATCTGGAACATCGAATACAAGCCGCCATTGAAAGTGAAATTATCAAACAAAGAGCATGTCATGAATTTGAGAAAGAAGACGTGAGTTTGGAGGAACCGACTGATGTAACTGAAAGTGAAGAACAAAGTATAAATAATATTGACAAAGAACATTTGTCACTAAAAGAAGCTGCTGAAGATTTTATTATTTTGGATCATCCGCAATCAAAAAGTGAAACAATATTAGATATTGACAAGAAAGAAGAATCTAAATCAATTGTTGAAGTTTCTAGTAAAGAATTGGATGACGGTAGTAAGAAAACAATTCCTTCGGATTCTTTTGTTCAAGAAACATTAGAAGAACATCAAATAGAGAAACCACAACCTCAAAACGGCAAAAGTACAATTGAAAGAAGAACAGCTTATATATTCGGAAAACATAAAGCAACAGAAGAATCCTTTTATGAAAGTGAAAAGGAAATATTAGACAAGGAAGAAATTATACCAGAAAAGGATGACTTACATGACTTACGGAGATTAAGAGATGCAGAAAAGACCGCAAAGAAAGAAGCAAATGGCTCGGAAAAACATATAGAAAGTTTGAAAACAGGTGACAGATCGGAACGCACAGATGAAGAAAAAGAACACAAAAAGGACGGGATGCAAAGTGACATTAGTCCATCAAAAATACACAAAGATTTAAAAGATATTGAAGATACTGCACAGCTTTTACTTTCAAGCGAGAAAGAAAAAATTATAGAATTACATAAAACTGAAAGCGAAAAAGCTGAAGAATCAAGTCCTGAATCAAAGAAAACTATCGAGGAAAAAATTCCATCAGCAAAAAATGCAATAGATATTGAAAAAGAGGTGGTGAAAGAATTAATACAGAAAGAAGATGAAGCGGACTCATTACATACAATTAAACATGGCGTAGAAAAACCAAAAGAGTCTACTCAGGAAGAAATTGTAGAAATGGAAAAACTGACAACTAAAACGTTTGAAGAACCGTCTAATATCAGTCAATCTTTTAAAGACGACACTCAGAGCGCGTTTTCAATTGATGATGACACACTATTATACATTGATGAAAATAGTGATGAAGCGTCGAAATTAGATGAAGATTTAATGCAATCTAAACTTGCCAAATTAACAGATGTAAAAGAAGATAGTGATCGAGATAAATTCAAACATTTAAGTGGTGATCTCGCAACAATGATAGAAATTGAAAGTCATGAAACTAAAGAAGAACCGCACATATCCCCTCAAAAAATATCTGACATTCAAGAAGCGAAACAGGAAAAAATTGATGATGAGTCTCTTACACCTTTAATGGACATTGCTATTTCCAAAGAAGAAGCCGTTAAAGAGCAATTACAAGTTGAGCCTACAAAAGAGACAGAAGAATCATTTCTCAAAGAACATGAAGACGGAACAGAAAAAATATCTGCATTAAAGGAAAGACCTGATGAAGAATTCAAAGAAATTTTGGATAAAGAATCTTCTACCGATCAGATGCCGAAAGATTCAAGTCTAGACAAACCAGCTGAACCAGACAAAGTGGACAATTCTGTAACAGTTTCTGAGAATGCAGCAGTTGTAGAAGGACGTGACAAAGGAGAGCAGCAAGCAGACGTAAGCGTTCCAATTATTAGCAGCTTTATTGACGATATGACACTCGATATTTCGGAGGAGAGTGACTCATCCAGTGATATTTCCAGGAAAACAACGCTGACCACGAGACCCTACGATACTCCACGCCATCGGCAAAAATGGCAGCAACAAGAAAGCCTTGAGATAGCGGAAATGTCTGGTATAAGAACTTTCAAAGATGATATTAGGACAGAACCAGTCGGACCAGAAGAAGATACGGATAGTAACTTATCTCTCGATGAAATTGAAAACATGAAAGATTCAATCACAAGTGAAACAACAAGTGAATTAAGAGAAGATATGGAAACAGTTACGTCTGAAAAGACTTCTTCTGATAGTGAAAAAGTTTTATCCGTATCTGATCTAAAAAAAGGAAACGATAAAGATAGAGCTTTCGATACAGACAGAGCTTTCGAATCAAAAGCCGAAATTGAAGAACTAAAAACCGATATAAAATCAGAAATAAAAGACTTATTTACGACAATTAAAGATATAGTTCCCTTGACTCGAAGTGTCAAGGAATCCAAAGAAAATGGTGAAACTCCGACAAAGGAAGACATAGAATCTAAAAGCGAAGTTGCTACACCTCGCAGAAAGATCGAAGAAGTTTCTCAATCCGTGAAACAAGATGATAAAAGTGAAATTAGATTACTTTCAAATAAATCTGAACAAACAGATACAAAGAGAGATAAAAGAAGTATTGAAAGCATTGAAATGGATAAAATAAAAATTGAAGAGATAGATAAAGTAAAAAGTAAAGAAAATAAAAATGTATTGTCGGCTCCACAAAAATGTATTGAGAGAACAATATTTTCTGAGCGTTCGATAAAGAAAAAACCTGAACGACCAAAGGCGCCTTCTTCCGAGGAAAGAAAACGCGTTTTTGATAAATCGGAAGAAAAAGCTGCGCCAAGTCGTTCTCATTATCGCAAGTTTACTGCTGATGATTCAAAGAAACAAACAAGAGATAGCGAATCGCAGAAACGATCACCACGAAGGAAAGATGAACATCAGCAGAAACAACTGGCGGCTAAATTTAAAACAAATAAAAAATCTACAGTTTCTCCAAAAGCCGGCGAGATTGACACGAGTAAAACGCAATCAAAGTACATGGCTTGGTACAATAAAAACCGTGAAGAGGCGGAGAAGAAGAGATCGGAAAGGAAAGCCGCCGCGGATGATGAGGAACAGCTACCACGCTGGGTAAGTAGAGGGTTGAAGCAAACGACAAAGCAAAGAGAAAAATTAAATGTGGAACACAAAACCCCAGAGACGACGCCGCGTACCAGACGCAAAATCAAACCATTGGTGAACGTTGAATCCGAGCAGCTAAAAGCCATCGTGCGTCAAGGGCGACAATTAAGGAAGGCCGAGGGTATTCTCAAGGAAGACCCTCCGATTCAGATATTCGCTAGAACACCGCCGGCTTCTATCTCGGACACGCAGCATCGATTGCTGCAACACTCGGAATACAAATACGAGAAAATACCGCCGCCATTTTATCTTCATCCACCACCTGCGCCGCATCCGTCGCCGCAATTATCGCCAGAGAGATCTCTCGAACTACAACCGTGTAGATCACATCACGAGCAATCCGAGGATGATCTGCATTCGGAAAATGCCGCGTCATTTCAAAGTGGCGGTCGTTTACGCCATCAACAACTACTCGAAAAGAAAAGCGTCTTCGATATTGCGTACAGCGAAGCTGCGCCGTCGCAACTCCGATCTGATAGCGCAACTCCGCCATCTTAACTCTCATAATAGACATTATTATATGCATATATGTTCTATAAAAGTATATATAATATACATATATAGTAGACATTATTACATATTTTGCACACAAATATTATATAAAATTATTTCAATACATCTTTAATCGCGTAATTATCCTTGTAAACCATAAAAAAAAATAACAATTTTATATATACATATATACAATTAAAATATAAGAATTACAAGAGATGTCTTGTATATATATTTTATAACGATTTCTTATTAACTATTTTGCTTAGCGTTAATTTTTTTAACTATCATTTACTTTACTGCCGATAAAATGTTATACAGATTTATCTTATTAAGAAAATACAATGAATTAATTATCAAGATTTTATATGTTATTATTCTAGTATATATAAAATGTTTATATATATATATATATATATATATATATATATATCTAACTAACTAAGTAATAATAC